CAGCTCTTGGTCCGCTTCCCCAGCTTCAGCAAGGATCTGGCTGACATACCAGAATTCCTCATAGCCCTTGAGAACGTCGTCAAACAGGAGATGGTATGTAGGAATGGTCATCACCGCTGTTGTTGTTAATGGTCTATCTGTATCTCCACGGTTTTCTCTATTGCATAGTACTGATGAGCTCGTCGGGAGTTTAATCCTAAACTGTGATCTTATGTCAGTTTTCGGTGGACGAAGAGGAAACCCCAGCAATGGTCTCCCTGGCACACGTCCTGGCCTTACTATTGCCGTTGGCGAGCAAGCTCCAGGATATATGCGCTGATGTGGTGAACTTTGTGGCTGAGAAATACAGGGTAATAGCATAAGCAGTAGGGTCTAGGAAAAGGGGAGTGGTTTAATGTTGTTTATTATTTTCGTTACCACTCCTTGTGTACATCGTAGTTGTCCTCGCAATGTCATGGTGACGATACGAAAATTTTGAGGAAATTTCGGCAAATTCTCATTCATTTCTGTACACTTCTACCCGAATTCGTATGTAAACTCCTATAATTAGTGAGGAAATTCATGAGCTCAGCTGAGGCTTAGCGAACGAATATTTCAACACTGTCTCGGACAGCTCAGTTCAGTGGGTATTATGTTGTCTCCTTTTAGGTGGCTACATGCACTTTACTTCTCCCCTATGTTGACGACTACTATCGAGCATCACAGGTAGGAAGGCGAGATCATCGTTGCAGTGGTTGAATAAGAAGTGATGACAGATTGGTGCTATGAGGGTATTGGGGGGGCTTGAGAGACCTAAGCAAGGTGACCTGGACTGGTGTTCTGCTGGCCTCCACCGCTGGGCTGAGGGTATTAGTGATGGCACTATGGATGTTGAGGAAATACGATCGTAAGTGGTTTCTATGAAAGTGAGAGCATTTCATTGTTCCCTTTGTTTTGAGGTACTTGCCAGTTTTCTCTCGCTACATGTGTCTGCGTGCTAGTGATGACGATGTGGTACTGCACGCTGCGAAGGTGGTGGAAGCATTGTGGAAATTGGAGAAGTATAAGTGGATTGGTCTGGAGAATCGTATAAGTGAATATCCGCTCGGTGTTGGGTGATTATATCCGACGGTGTTGTTTCGAACAACGTTGGGGAAATAATCACCCAATGTAGGAAGTTTTTTTTTCGGAAAATATCGCAATTTGCTTGATTCGCGGCTTATTCGTTCTCTGTACATTCCCTTTGTCGATCTTCATTGGCTACTCTAAATGGGGAGGGCGTTGCCAGACCAGAGCGCAGACCAACAGCTGGCAGCAAGTTGGCTGTTTGTAAGGTTGAACTACTCAGCGCAAGGGGATCAGTATTCGGTTTTTGTTCTTGAAACGTATCACTGCTGGCTGAATGCATCTCAATCACCGGTATATTTACTGTATCGCCCAATCGTGCCCACTGTTTTTAGTGAACTGTTGATAAGCACACTAGTATGTTGTCTCAGTCGGGAGCCTCTCAAACGTTCCCTACAGGACTGCATTGACTCGGTAGTACAGAAAGTAGAGGATAAAGCTGCTAACAATGACTTGATCATCACCACTGCATTAGTGAGGCCCCAATTCACAGGGGAAGTTTTCTTGAATAAGTCATTCATCAGGTCCAGCTCGTGGAGCTTCTAGTGACGGCCTTCAAGGAGTATACTCCAGTGTGTGAACTGATGAGGAATCCCTCGATATCTAAGTGGCTGTTGAGGAGAGGGAACTTGAACAGTATTGGCCGTGTACTGTTCCTTATGGAACTGAATGGTGGGTGGAAAGTGTTGGTCTCAGTAGCCTACGCGGTTTTATTCTGATGTCAGATGATGCTGTCAATGAGCTTTCTGGGCTGGTAGCGCACTCGGAAGATTCGTCGTTGTCGTCGTCGTCCTCGGAGATTCTGGCAACACTGTGTCGGTATGGAGGGGATAAGGAAGTAGCTGGTAGAGGATTGAAGGCAGCGCGTGATGGTAGGGAGTTTCGACAGGTTCTGGGGAGCACTGTGGAATAATATGCATACGGTGAATTATGTGTGTTGATGAAAATGAGGAACTTGTGGAAAATTTCTGTCAGTTTTCATACACTACATGAAGATTTGGGCGGCGCGCGGTATTGGTCGGGTTGAATTTTATCGGTTCATCTACTGTATTAATTCAGCAGTTAGTGCCTAGTGGAATCACCAATTTGCGCCATGTGTTGTAACAATTAGTGAACAGATACGATGACGGAAGCATTGCAGCAATTATGGCATTGTGTGGGAGTGGAGGGGCCATGGGACAGGAGTACTCCCCTTAGTATCGTACAGAAAGCCTCATTCGATGGGATCGCTGAACTGGATAGGGTCAACCGTGAAGTACTGCCTCTTCTGCAGTGGGGCGATATGGCTCTGGCGGTAAGCATGAATTTGCGTTGTTATTCCCAGGCTGATGTTTTCTGTGTAAAAATTTCCGCGTGAAACGGAAATCAACTCCCGTAAAATGCTAAATTTACGAATTCACCTGAGAAAAAATAACACTAGTCCATATGGTGTTGTTGTTTATGGCAGATTCTGAGTCGCATCGGAGACTTCTCAGAAGCTCCTGAGGTGGGTATGAGGCTGTTGACGTACCCTTCGGGATGCGGGGTCGTTGATGGAGATATGATGAAGTGGGAGTCGGCTCGAGTGGAGCTGAGGAAGAGGATTGAAGGAGGTGGGGGGATGCAATTAGTTCATAGAAGAGGCGGGGATTCAACCAACTTTGAGAAATGGCGTTATCTGGAGTGTGATAACAGTGAGGGAAAGCTTCCTAATGTGATGGCGTTCACATTGGAGGCTGATTGGAGGGATTGTTCCTAGACATGTGGAAAATTCAAATAACTCCCCCTAGAAACATTATAGGTTGCTGGATATTCCTTGGTTGAGTATATACAGATCGAGTTGTTAATTGTGTATATGTATAGGTGTACCCACTTCGTTGGAAAGTTCCCTGATGTTGGCACTGTGCGGCCGAGACTTCCCGCTATCGTCACGAGTTGACGTCTGGTGTGACAGGGACTTCATGATAGTCTTGGCCAAAACTGAGGGGCTACGAGCGCTTACTGGTGAGTTGCCATTCAGCACTTTTAACTGGAGGGAATTCCTCGGATGCAGGTGAATCGGATCTCTTTACCATAGACGAAGCTGACCTTTCTGATCGGGAATCCCAGTCCCTGTTGAGGGTTTGGCGTGATGAATGTAAGCTTGGAAGTGCCCTGATGGATGCGGCTGATGTGGT